CCCTGGGCGCTCCCAGCAGCGTCCGGGCGTTTCCCGGGCGCCCAGGCGTCCGGGCGCCCGCGGGCGCGGGCGTTCCCGGTTTTCTGGCGCCCGGGCGTCTGGGCGCCCGGGCGTCCCGGCGTCCGGGCGCGGGCGCCCTGGGCGCTCCCAGCGTCCGGGCGTTTCCCGGGCGCCCGAGCGTCCGTGCGCCCGGGCGCGGCCGTTCCCGGCGCTTCTGGCGCCCGCGCGTCCGGGCGCCCGGGCGCTTAGGTGCCCAGGCGTCTGGGCGTTTCAGGCGCGCGGGCGTCTGGGCGCGCCCGGGCGCCCGGGCGCCCAGGCGCCCAGGCGTCTGGGCGGTTCGCGCGCCCAGACGTCCTCGGAGTCCGGGCGCCCCAGTGTCCGGGCGTCTGGGCGCCTGGGCGCCCGGGCGCCCGCGCGTCTGGGCGCTGCGTCCGGGCGACCGGGCGTCCGGGCGCCCGGGCGTCTGTGCGGTTCGCTCGTCCGGGCGCCCGCGGGCGTCCGCGCGCCCGGGCGCCCGGGCGTCTGGGCGTCTGGGCGTCTGGGCGTCCAGGCGTCCGGGCGCCAGGGCGCCCTGAGCGCTAGCACCCAGCGTCGGGGCGTTTCCTGGGCGTGGCCCGCCGGGCGCCCGGGCGCCCGGGCGCCCGGCCCCGGGCGCCCAGCCCCGGCTCGGGCGTCCGGGCGTTTGGCGCCCAGGGCGTTCGTGCGCCAGGGATTCAGGCGCCCAGGCGTCCGGGCGCCCGGGCGTCCGGGCGCCCGGGCGTCCGGGCGCGGGCGCCCTGGGCGGTTCTGTCGCCTGGGCCTGGCCAGCCGGGCGCCCGGGCGTCTGGGCGTCCGGGCGCCCGGGCGTCCGGGCGTCCGGGCGCCAAGCCGGGCCTTGGTAAAATTGCGCCATCCCTCACAATCCCCTGGAAGGACCCAAGACGGGCCAACAGGCCCAAGAGGGCTCCGAAAACGGCCCCAAGAGCGCTCCAGGAGCGTTCCGAGTGGCCCCCACAAAGCTCCACACGGTCCCCGACGGTCCAAGAGCGATCACAAACATCGACGACAACCTCCCGACGGCTCAACAGGCCCCCAAGACGGCCCAGGAGGCATCAAAGATTCGCCCCAAGAGGCCCTCTAGACGCAAAAAATCGCTCGTTCCCTTCGTAAAACGCATTTTTTCCACACGTGCGCTTTTTGGGGTGCCCCCCGCTCCTGGACGGCCCCAGAGCCCCCCAAACCCGCTCCCAGGCGGCCCAAGACGCCTCCAAGAGGGTTCCCCATATAGCCCTAGAGAGCCCAAAGACGGGCCAACAGACGTCCAAGACGGCCCAAAAGGGCTCAGAAAACGGCCCCGACAGCGCTCCAGGAGCGCCCCGGGTGGCCTCGAAGAGAGCTCCACATGGTCCCCGACGGTCCAAGAGCGATCAAAAACACTGACGACGACCTCCAGACGGCCACAGAGGCCCCCAAGCCGCCCCAATAGGCATCCACGATGCGCCGCAAGAGGCCCTCTAGACGTACAAAAACGCCCGTTCCCTTCGTAAAACGTATATGTTTTCTCGCACGTGCGCTTTTTGGGGTGTTCCCCGCTCCTGGGCGGCCCCAGAGCCCCCCAAGACCGCACCAAGACGGTCCAAGAACCACGAGGGCCCCGCGACAGCCCAAGAGGGCGCCAAGACGGGTCAAGAGGGGCCGAGGACGGTCCAAGAGAGCCCCGAAGACGGCGCGCGCGCGACTCGCGGTCAGATTCCTCGCAACTTGCGTTGCTTCCCGCCGCGCTCGCCACTTGCTTCCGCAGGGCGCTTCGGCGGGTCTCTTCGAGGCGCCCGTCCCGCCTTATAGCACTTGGCGCAAACCACCAGATTGCCTCGGTGGAAATATTTATTCTTCTGGTCTTTCGAGAGATGGCCGCCGTCAGTGAACGTTGGCTTTGATCCGTCCTTTTTCACGGGACATGCGGAGCATTCCAACTTCTTCGCCATCTGCCTTTGCTCGCGGTACGCTCGGCACACCACCGAGCGATGGGCCGAACCCTTCTTGAAGAAGGCGTTCAGTTGCTTATCTGTCAGATGCGTCCTGTCCGCGAATTCTCGCTCTTTCCCATCTGCTTCTTTCGGGCACGCGGAACACGTGAGCGCTCGCGACTGATTGCGTTCTTCCTGGCACGCGCGGCACATGACTGGGCGATGGTTCGAACCCTTCGCGAAGAAGTGCTCCACTTGCTTATCTGTCAGATGCGTCCTGTCCGTGAACTCCCAGCCTCTTCCATCTGCTTCTGTCGGGCACGCGGAACACCTGAACACCCGCGAGCGCTTGTGATGCGCGTCGCAGTCGCGGCATTTCACTGGCCTATGGCCTGCGCCCGTCTGATAATAGTGCTTGGTTTGGTCTGCTGTCGGATGCCTCGCGTCCGTGATTTCCCGCCCTCGGGCCCTGGCCGAAGGCCCCACCGGATCCACCTGACCCCGGAATCCCCCAGATCGCCTCCAGGTCGCGCCAAGAAGGTTCACCAGGCGACGGGGCGACCCGCGAGAGCTCCAGGACGGCCCCCGAGAGGTTCATGGCGCGCCAAAACAGCCTCAGAGGACGCCGAGACGGTTCCGCTTAAGGTCAGGAAAGGCCAAGATAGCTTCACAATGGCCTGAAACGATTGAAGGTCACCCCACGGCCGCCCCTGACGGTTCCAAAAGACACCGCAAAGCAGTTATGAGGTCACCAAGGGCATACCACAGTCCTCGGCAACACATGGCGACGGCCAAGACGGCCGAAAAGGACGCCCCGAGCGCCCCATGACAGCCCAAGAGAGGCCGATGACAGCCCAAGAGAGCCCCAAGACAGCCCAATACTGCCACAGGACGGCCTAAGGGGCCCCAAGACAACCCAAGAATGCTCCCAGAATGGCCCAGGGGCCTCAGACCACCCAAAGAGGCGACCAAACCACTGCGCGATTCTTCATAAGGGGTCGGCGGATGTGGCGCAAGCCTGAAGAATCTTGTTACCAACGGCCGAACAAAGCTGGGCAAGCTCTCGCGAGCTCCAGTGTTCCAGCGCATTGTCCCGAATGACATTCGCGAGGGGTGACGCGTCATCGGTGCTCAAGTTTCCCAGATTGCCAACTTTGAGGAGCAACTGGTCAAATTGGCACTTGGCCACTGCGGCGGGATCCAACCCACAGCTTATCTTAGTTTGCACCCATTCGTGTATATGGTTTAGCTCAGCGATAAGGTTTGGCACGGACGTCATCGCGTAGCAAACGCAAGTAGATGGCGCGACAGATTGCGACGTGGCAAGTGGATATCGCGAACGTCAGACTCGCGAGCCAAATGGGATACGGATAAGATGCCAACTGCAACATCACATGCTATTGCAGGGCGGCCCGGCCGCGGTGGGGGGTGCATTGGGGGGGCAACAATGGTGCAGCCCCCCACGCCGTCGCCAATCACCCTCATCCGCACATCCCCCCCCCTGCTTCGCTGTCGTCGTTGCCACTCTTCGGCCAGACCGCAAACCACAAACGGGATCGCATGCAATCACGTGCATGATGTTAAATGCAACAGATGCAAGATAGTTCGCCACACAACGCACGGCTTTACAGCTTGCAGTTATCCGGCTCGGGATCAGGCCACGCCCATGGACTTCGCATGCTCAAGCCATGCGACTGCGACGCTGTGCGACTCGATCGCAGCCTCACGGTCCAGAATTGAGTTCATTCACTCATGCTTCGCCTTGAGGAACGCTGCGTAGTCGACATCTGCCTGTTGAGGCTGCCGGGGGTCAGGGTGGGAGATGGCCGTTGTTATGGAGCGGGAAACTTAATTAGCAATACGTTATTAACCACATGCATGCCTTATTGGTCAGTGTTTTCACGCGGGAGCGAGTCGACGCCACATCCTTGTTCGCAGCCTTGACAATCTCTTTCTTCTGGCGAACCCGCGCCTCACGCTCCTCCCTAAGCTCATGACGAACCTGTGCCTCCATCGCCTTCTGCTTGGTGGACTTCGCCATTGCAACCAGAACAGCTTACGTGCAAGAGCCTGCGCGCACACTCACACACGCACGCACACCTTGGGCCAACATGCTTACGAAAGGCTCGATCGCCGCCGTAGCGCCGCCCTGTAGACCCCACTGGCGCGCAACCCCACACGCGCATGACGTTGCATGTTTGCACGCAGCGCCACAAACGATACGATGAATGCGTTTGCACGCATGGGCTACCCCAGTAGCTACCCCGCCACCCTGTAGCTAACCCCGCAAAGCTGCTAGAGCGCACTACGCGACGCCAAGGGCCTTGCGGCCCCGTGCCCGCGCCAGGCCACCCACTGCAACGACGCGATTAGTTGCGCGAATGTGCACATTCCTCCACACCTCTGCCTCCCGCAAAACCATGCGGAACACCTCCTCGGCGGCCTCCGCCTGTTTCATGGCTCGCTCCAGCTTCTTGAACGCCGCATCTACCTTTCGGGGAGGGGGGATATGGCGTGAACACGACCCTACCAACCCACACCTGGTAACATTCAAACCCTGATGCTTCCTCCTCCGCCCCTTCCCCTTCCTCCTCCTCCTCTCCTCCTCCTCCTCCTCCTCCTCCTCCTCCTCCTTCTCCTCCTCCTCCTACTTATCACTTATCTTCATCGTCCTCCTCTCCTTTTCATCCTCTCCTCCTCCTCCCCTCCCCTTCCCCATCCTCATCTTCCTCATCTTCGGCGGCGCCCTAATGGCCCAGGGCCCACGGCGAGGCAATAGCGATCATGCAACATGGGCCGTCGGAATGAGCGAATCGATTGAATAATACTCGGGGCGTCGCGGACGGTGAACAGTCCGAGTCATCGCTGGAAGGGCAGGGCGGGGCTACTCAGCCTTAGATTCTGAGGCGGGGCATGGCCCACGCGCTTGCATTTGGCAGTGCGAGCAGGAATGGCCAGCCTAAGCAGCAGGTCAGGGCACTCCGCGGGTGGTGGGAAATCGTGGCCACCACCAAACGGGGGGACAAGCGACGGCGCCAAGCGCAGAGAGGGCCGTCAAATGTCAGCCGTGCGTCTTGGTTGGGTGTCCACGCACCTGATGAGCAAGATCACCGAGCTGTAGGTGATAGTAATTATGATGTAGCCGTAGATGCCGAGAGCATGGATCACTGCCCTCCATGACAGCCACATCAGGAAGTGGGCGAATGTCATGGTCAGAACGCTCAGGACGGCCATACGGGCGCGGGCCACGCCAGGCTTGCACCACATTGAGAAGGACCTCATGACCACATTGAAGAAGAGCGGGTTGAACAAGAACACCAAGGACATCTGCTGGAGCATCAGCCTCCAGGCCAAGGCGCCCTGGCCCGCTCTGAAATGCCACACGACTCTGCCGACCATGTCCCACAAAATCGGTGGCCCGATGCAAGCAACGAGGTAACGGTACGGAATGCGGGCATGCCTGACCGTATGGCTCAGCAGCTTCTCTCGGACGAATATGTCGAATCTGTCCACGTCGCCAAACCAGTTGATCACGGTTGCTCTGATCAGTTCCCTGTCGCACGGTATGGCATCATGTGTCTCGGGGTGCCGATGGCCGTTGCTGCAGCAGAAGCACTCTGCGTGTTCAAGGGAGAAGGTCACTAGCTGTTCCTCCTGCTCGGCGAAGGTGCAGACATGCCGCGACAAGAAGGGGGACAAGAATGAGCCAATGATGCAGAAGGTAATCGAGAAGGGAACCACTCGCAACAAAATCCGGAGACCCCTTTGGGGTCTCTAGGCGTGTGAGGTTGTTCCCCCCCCCCCCCCAGAACCCTCCCCAGGGACCCCAAACCGGAGATTTGACCCCCCCGCGGCCCCGGACGAACGCGTCATGGGAGCATAGAGGGCCCCAAAACGGGCCAAGAGGGCCCCAAGTGGGCCCAAGACGATCCAAGAGGGCCCCGAATCGTCGAATGATCGTTCCAGGACGCTCAAGATGGCATCCAGACGGCCCAAGATGCATCCAAAACGCCCCAAGAGGCCTCCCAAAAGGCACCGAAGAAGTGAACATTGCCCAATTCCCTTCGGAAAACGTATGTTTTAAACAGAGTCGCCTCTTGCGCTTTCATACCGTGCAACACGGCCCCAGCGACCCCTAGGACAACTCCAAGACGGCCTACAAGGGTCCCAAGATCGCCAAAGAAGCCCCGATGACGGTCCTAGAGGGCTCCCAGACGACGCCAAATGGAGGCCCACGGGGGGAACCCGAACCCGCATTTCCAGCCTTCGGCCCCAGGACGCCCCCAGGGAGCCCGAACAGAGCCCCCAAACGCCCCCAAGAACCTGCCAGGAATCGGGCAAGCCTCGTGGAATGCAGTCCTGGACGCGCAGTAGTTTATAGAGGGGTCGGCGGATGTGGCGTTAGCCTATAGAATCTCATGATGTGGTAGCGCGCCGAACATCGACGGGAGATCGTCAACGCCTATCAAGAACCAACGGGTAACAAAATTGAAGACCGTCAGGCCGACAAACAAAATGGCGAGTATGCCTCCGTAGATGGAGGGCAGCACCTGCAGCGCGTTATCCGAGGCCTGCTCCCGATCCGACTGCAAATGCGTGCACGCCGCAAACTCGAAGACACACCAGAGCCGCCGGAAGTACGTGTTGTCCCAGAGAACCAGCACAGTCCTCGACATCCTCAGATAGTAGCCGAGGCTCAGGATGCCGTTCCGTTTCGCTGTCTCGTCGTCCTGAGGGATGCACGCCCTGTCCAGGAACACGCGCTGCCGACTCGGCCACGCAAACATCACCACCACACTTGTGCACAGCCCGGCTGCCATGCACGGGAGGCCTGCGCGATAGCCACTCACTGACAGCTCTGCTGGACACACCTCTCCTTGCAACAGCAAGGCCGTGGCCGTGGCCGCGGCAACACTCGCCAGGAAGGCCTGCCAACAGTTGTAGTACATCAGCAGACTGATGCAGTTCATGAAAGGCGACGCGTGCCGGCTGTACGACCAGAACTCGTGGTACCGGTCGACCTCCCGGGAGAGCCTGTACTCGTCTCCGTAGCTGAAGGCATTGCTGAGGAGCTTCACCCCGACGATTGCAGGGACCGCGTGCATCCTGGTGGAAGAGCCCGCGGCCGGCTCCATCGAGAGCCGCCGCGGCCTCGCCGTCCCGGGGCACTCTGGCACCGGCCGCGGCAGGACGCGGCCCTCGGCCCCGCCGCCCGGGACCTCGCAGCGCCCGACCGTGAGAGGCCCCGGCGCGCCAGGCACGGTGTCCTGCTCCTGCCTCGCAGACATCGGGCTGGGCGTCAGCGTCCAAGGGCGGATCTCCAGGGGGGCACTCAATGGCCCGAGGGCTGGAGCCACCCTCGAGAGCCAACATGG